CCTCCCAATGCTGAAGACATCGCAAGGCTTTTGGAGATGAACAAAGCTCGCGGGTTCTTAGGTATGCTTGGCTCAGTAGATTGCATGCATTGGAGTTGGAAGAACTATTCTAAGGCATGGCATGGACAATTCCACGGCCAGAAAAAAGGGTTCCACTATAATCCTTGAAGCGATGGCCGATCAGGAGACTTGGATTTGACATGCTTTTTTCGGAATGCCTGGATCTTTGAATGGCATCGATGTTCTTAATCGATCACCACTCATGAATAAGATTGCAAATGGTGAAACTACACTGGTGGAGTTTGTAGCAAATGGCCATACATACAACTATGGCTACTATCTTGCGGGTGTCATCTACCAAAGGTGGCAAACATTTGTGAAGCCGTTGACGGCACCGCAAGGTAAGAAAAATCTTGATTTCCACTATGCTCAGACGGCGGCTAGGAAAGATGTGGAGAGAGCTTTTGGGATTTTGCAAGCCCAATTTGCTATTGTGAGAGGACCTGCTAGATTTTGGGACCAAAAGATCCTTTGGTGCAAGCCCAATTTGCTATTGTGAGAGGACCGGCTAGATTTTGGGATCAAAAAATCCTTTGGTACATCATGAACGCTTGTCTGATCATGCGTAACATGATCATCGAAAATGAGCGTGGGCAAAGATTTAGGCTATTCTCAGTATGAGTTGTTGGGACAACCCGTGTGAGTGCGGAGGAGGGCTGTGAGGGTGGCCCACTTTATTGCCTCCTATCATGCCATTCGACGTGCCGAAACGCATGATGACATTCAAAGGATCTAGTCGAGGAGTGGTGGTCATGGAATGGACGACAAAACTAGTTTGATGTTATAAGTTTGTTGTATTGTTGACTATTTGTCACATTGTTCATGAACTATTTGTTATATTGGAAAATAAACTATTGTTTAGAGTTGTAATAAAAATTGGAACTATTTATTGTTGATTTATCTTATATGTGTTTGATCTTGTTTAGTTATATGTTGAATGGAAAATGTTATTTGTGCTAGGCGCGATGTAATTTAGCGCGCCTGCTGGATACCGCACTACTTTGGCGTTGTAAAAGATTTTTAGGGCGCCGAGTGACCGCGCGTCTGTTTGGAGATGCTCTTAATATGTATATACGCGCTTCTATATTCCAAAACAGTGGCCATATCAATGCTTCAACCGTGAGCACGTAATGCATCCTGGTATCTAAGAGTATCTACAACCAAACCTCTCAAACCCGTCTCAAACGTCCGAACAGACAGCCCGGTCACTAACTGATTATGAAATTTCAACCCAATCAGGTCTCTCAAACCGTCCTCAAACGCCCGGGCTGACCGGCACCCCTCATATTCAGCCCAAATATGAGGCGGATATGGAGCGGCACGGGCGCGTCCGGGCACGCCCGTCACGTCGACTTGGCCCAGCCTAGCCCACGCCTGCCCCACAAATATCGTCGTTCGGAAAACACTAGACCGTAGTCAATCCGAACTCCACTTCACTCCCCTCTCCGTCCACTCCACTTTCGATCCCTTCCAAACGCATCCGATGGCCGGTGACTGAAGCAGCGCTGCCTTCGGTGGGGACTCCGGCTCCGACGGCGACTGGTCTAGCCTGCTGCGCGAAGAGGACCCCCACGATGTGGAGGAGGTCGCCCTCCGCATCGCATTGAGGCGTTCGGTCGTCGACCAAGGCGGATCCGGCAGCGGCAGATCCACTTCATTAGTGCCCGGCGCCCGTCGACGCAGCATCGGCGACGTCGCCGGCCCTTCCCGCCTGGCGCACAGCTCCGGCCACTCCGCTCCGCTCCTCCAGGTACGCCGCCCACCACCAGCACCCTCTACTCCGGAGGTGGTGCCCAGTCACCGTTGGGTCCTCGTGCCAGCAGCGGGGCTGGCACACACTCGGACGCCCGAGTCGGAGGCACGAGCAGCGCGACGCGAGCAACAGCGGGTGAGGGAGAGGGCAGCGGCATCCGAGTCGATGTCTGCGCACAGACCGGCCGATCCTGAGGCAGCGCTCCTCGCTTCTGTCCTCCGCCGCTCGCTCACGACGGCGGAGACGGATGCGCGGTGCCTCCGCCGCAAGAATGCCAAGGTGCTCCGACTCGCCATCGAGTTGTCGGAGCGCGAGGCAACAAAGGAGTGGCGGCGAAGGCTAAGGCGGCCCGCCATGCGAAGGAGCAGGACCGGCGAGGAAATGGTGATTTTCTCCGCCCTTCCTTGTTCTGTTTATATTTTATCCATGTTTCATAAGTTTGTAGTATGATTTGCACTGCTCGCCGCCGTTGAACTCCGATGAATCATGTTTCTTTTGTCCGGCTAATCCAATGGACTACGCTATGATCATGTGTTTTACGTAGCGTTGCATGAATTGCATGGTTTTGAGGTTTCGGATACGAGGGACATGAGTGTGGAGGACGAAATATAAGGCGTGACCGGTCAGTGCCCGCGGACGCGCCCGGGGGCGTTTGAGGGGTCGGATTTGTCCAATGCAGGTATAGATGCTCTAAATATATGCTTCCTTCTATCCATAAAGTATAATTTTGCTTGCACCGTTACTCTAATTTTCAGAGGAGAACCATGTGCTTCATGATATAGTTCATGATGCTTCAAATCATGGAATCATCCACATGCTTCAGTTAAAACGTATACTTAGACTTAGTCATGGCCGATGCCAAACTCTTCATCTGATGGATGCATGACGATCTCGTCGTGGCAAAAGCGCTGGAGGCAAGGACAACAAATCCTTGCTCGTCATTGGATCACGCTGCTTGTTGTTTGTTACCAGAAGCAGTGGCAGGAAACGGGGAGTTGGAGGTGAATAGGTGATCCAAAGTCTGGACGCACAGCTCGCCATATGCCTCACCGGGTTGATGGTGGAGGAAAAGGCAACGATGCGCAGTTCGCCGCGGAGCGGAATCTGGTGAAGATGACCGGGACGACGAGGGGTTACGGGGACGTGGTGATAAAAATCGGTCTGTTTCTCCCTTATAATGATGGATTTATAGGAAAGTAAACATACACATACCCCAGCCGTGAGATGGAAGACATATCAACGGCCTACGCCAGTCTGAAAAATGCTATGTATGATAGGATTACCGGAAGAAAAAAAAGATGTATGATAGGAAGTGTTTCCCTTGCCGAGGGGCCGTGTTTTGTAAAATGAAAAAACTAACGCCCACACGTGTGGCATCTTGTATATCGGCCACACGTCTCTATCACCACTCATTTTGCCACGTATAAATAGATGATATCAGCAGGAATCTTTTTGGTTTTTGACTTAAAAATGTTTTATCTTCTAATTAAAAATTTGAATTAAAAATCCGTTTTCACCATTAAAGTTGTCTCGGCGAGATCTTTGAAACTAGACCCCATGTTGATATGTTTCGACGAAAAAAAAATTGTCCAAAAGTTGTCATGATGTTTACACTGTAGTTGTCATAGTGCTTAAACTAAAGTTGTCACGTAACAATTTTAATTTGTAGAGCATGCCAATTTTAGTTTTTTGATGATGATAATTCCAGTACTTTGACAATGAAAATTATTTTTTGTATGAACCATGGAAATTTTAGATGCACGTATCATGGCAATTTTAGTTTATGGACGATGGCAAGTCTAGTTTCTTAATTCTCCGTTTTATAATATGCCAAAATTTACTTTTAATAGTTTTGCTAAAGCACATCTAGATGTGCCATAAGTATTGCACATCTAAGTCATATGTCATTGATCTTACATTGAGATTCATGTGAATATTTTCTTTTTTTTCCTTTTTTCTTTATGCTTGATTCACTCATTTAAATGTGCAATAACTAGAGCACATCTAGATGTGCCCTAGACACACCCCAGTTTTGCTAAAGCACATCTAGATGTGCCATAAGTATTACACATCTAAGTCATATGTCACTGATCTTACATTAAAATTCATGTGAATATTTTCTCTCTTTTTCCTTTTTTTCTTTATGCTTGATTCACTCACTTAGATGTGCAATAACTAGAGCACATCTAGATGTGTCCTAGACACACCCTACTTTAAATTGTAGAAGAAAATAGCTGAAACATATCATGCCAATTTCAATGTAAACATCATGGCAATTCATATGGTAACTTTTAACCTAAAAAATATTCCTCAAAATATATTGATACGAGATCTACTTTCGAAGATCTCGTCACGAGGGATTTAATGGTAAAAACGGATTTTCAATCGGATTTTTCATTTAAGAGATAAAACATTTTAAAAACTGAAAATCCAAAAAAATTACCATATGCATGCATGCGATGACGTGGCACACTCTATGTGTTATATGGCATGTGGGCAGATTTGACTCCCACCGTACGTGTGGGCGTTGTCCTTGTAAAACAAGTCTAATTATTGTCAGGAAAAAGAACTAGCGCACGAATAGAGATAGAAATAAGTTTCGTACTCTCTCAGTCCAGATGTATAGGACGTGCCCCTAGTTTTAGATCATCGGTTTGACTAACTAAATATGTGTTATATGTCATTAAAAGTATATCCTACGACTCATATGAAGATGTAACTTCTAAACATACTGTTTTAACATACTCCCTCTATAAACTAATATAAGAGCATTTAGATTACTAATTTAGTATTCTGAACGCTTTTATATTAGTTTAGGGAAAAATATAATATATATTTAACTAGTTAAATTGTCAACTTAGAACCATGCGCATGTCCTATACACCAGGACGGAGGCAGTACGAGTGTAACTAGAGTTAAAAAGGGATAGGAAAAATTATACTCTACCCGAAGGTTTCTCCACTATGGTTTACATGGCGGCTGAACCAAATATACTAGTACTAGACAGTTCAAACTATGGAGTACAATAGTTTGATTACAATCCAGGTTTGGCACACCTAAATTTAGACAGACACTTTTTTATTAGTAAATGTTTGATTGTTGGCACAAGTCCACGACTCTTTGACGGCATAACCAAGTCTTTGAAGTTCTTCCCCGGTCATCAGACACACTATTTGACGAAGTTTACTTAAGGTTGGGATGAACTGGAATGAGCATGAGACCCCCGAGGCAAAGTCGACCAAGTCACCTTCACTGAGAGTAGCGCAAAGTCAGTCTTCATCTTTTGAGTAAAAATCCCATGGTTGTTGGCTATGAAGGAACAATGATGTTCAGCAGAACTGGATGACTCCGCACCCAACTTGAACTTCAACGTCATCCAAGAAGCTATAACTACAGCAACCACAGACCTCTTTAAGCCACATGACTCACCAATGGTGCCATTGAAGAGCCGGATTTCTTCATTCAACCCACTGGTAAAACAGCTGAGACACAAATTGAAACTGTTTTGCACTTCTGAGATGACAACTTCTAGAGTCGCCTCAACTGCATTTTCAAGGCGTGATGCGGTGAAGTCCACTGCTCCACAATCGCCATAGATGCGACTGGTGAATGTGTGACACTTCTGCAAGTCTTTGCTGACTATTATTGATGCACCATCAATCAGTTGTAGGTCATGTTTTTCTTCTTCTGCAGTCTTGATCCTCATGTCATATTCGATTAAAATATTGCCATGTGAATCTATCCCTCGCTTAGGGCCAGACATGTTGATGAGAGAACCCTACAAAGTCATTGTTATTAAGTAGCTCTCCATATAAAAGTAAGACATATCTAAAGCCAAATACTTTCCTTATGACGTTTCACTTCACCAATATTTACTTCAAGGGATAATTTACAATGGATAAATAAGATTTTGCCATGTATTGAACTGGATAGTTAGTAAATACATAGCGGTGTTAGAGAGGGAAATTTGGCTCCCACTATATTTATTTCATTTTGTTTCAAATTCCGAATATTAGTTGCATAAGTTTGTTGAAATGAAAAAGGAAAAAAAAAGGTTTGTCTGCTTACCCCCGTCAAGTATACAGGTATTTGACCCCTGAAATAATGTATAGCTAAATCATTCCCTGGGGTGATTAGGAGGTGATTTTGCCCACGCAGCAGCATTCACCTAACAGGTCACGTGGCCAGAAACCACCTCCAAACCCTGACCAGGAACGATATAGACAGTATTGACACTTTAAGAGGCAGAATCCCTGCTTTTATACTCAAGGGGGCTAAGTAGACGAACCACAATATTTGGGGGTGTTCGGTAGTCTCATCCCTTAAAATAATTGCAGATAAGTATGGATGTGCACCTGCTCCACGATGATGGGATCATCCCTTTTAAAACTGACCACATAGTTAAGCAATCGATCCAGATCATCCCGCATTGCAATGTATCCGTACAACTCTACTGGCCCACAACCCACATGAATTTTAGCCAGCTTCAATGAGAAAATTTGGAACATGCCACTAGGTGTATGCTGCATGCAAGCTCCATCGAGAATGCAGCAATCTGAGGGATCTGTTAACATCATCGGCTCCAACCAAGCTTCACGAAACAAATACAAGTTACATTGTAATTGGAAATAAATACAATAAACAATACTTGCCATGTGTAAAGTAAACATGCCACTTGAGGATTTGATGTCTCTACTGATTTTTTTTTACTTTTTTCATGTAAGTGGGAAATATCAATGTTTTTCTACTATAAATTTGCTCCCTCGAAATGTTTTTCCTTGAAGAGAACACAAAGAAAAGAGAGTAATTTTAATCACCCCAGAAAGGAAAAGGTCCAGTTTTACCAAAATCACTAGTTAAGGCCTTAAGGGAAATATCAATATTCTTCTACTGTAAATTTGCTCCCTCGAAATGTTTTCCTTTGAAGCGAACACAAAGAAAAGAGAGTAATTTCAATCACCCCAGAAAGGAAAAGGTCCAGTTTTACCGAAATCACTAGTTAAGGCGTAAGGGGTACCCCTTCCAAAGGTTACCCCAAACTTCTCTGGTGGTCACAAGCGCCGCTAGGGAGTTTTGGTGCGTTTTCTCTATGGAAGGGGATGGGAGGGTTGCTGTGTATGCTTTTTTTGTGAGTTCCGATTTTCAAAATGAAATATCTCTTGAACCGTGCGTCCAAATTACACGCATTGTCTTCCTCGCATCAAGATTGAAACTATATCCCATGTAGATAAGTTTCAACGAACTTTTTTTTCAGACATAACTTGTACTACCAAATATAACAAACTTGTGCTTCACGTGATAACGTACTTATAGTACCCCACAAGCAGTATAATCCATGTAGTGCAACCTGTACTCACTGCACAGTACACCATGTGCTCCCTGCTCAGTACAACTTGTACCCCCATGCAACCTGTACTCCCCTACCGCAAAGCACAGCTGCGCTTCACAGTGAAGCACAATTGCGCTTCGCGGAGAATAACACCTGTGCTAAATGCGCTACAGTACGTGAAGCACACCTGTGATGCACAGCCCGTGCAGTACACTTTGCACAGTCCTTGCAGCAAACTTACATAAACCACGCAGCACATAAAAACCAGAGAAAAACGTGCAGTAAAAGACCGGTAGAACAAACTAAGAAAAATCGAACAGAACAGGGCGCTCCCGTTTCCTGGCTCAGCTTGATAGCGAGCGAGCACCACGCGCCAAGCCTGGAACGCGCCCGCGCGCGACTCGTTGTCCAAGGGGCACCTCCCCCAATGAGGTACACCCCCATTTTACTGTCTCCAAATATTTCATAACTCCTTAAAGTACTTCTCACCCTCACTTGGGTTCAAAAACTATTAAAATAGATCATTTCACCCCTCAATGAAAAAAAATCGTTTATCTTTCTACACGTCCTCTTTTAGTGTTGATTATTTACCAATGGTAGATAACATAATTAACATGTGTTATAAAATAATTTCATAATTTACCATGGCTATTTGCATATGTTGGGAGCACCTAAACCTGCTTAACATTTTAGGATATAAAAGTCTCAACTACTGTAAATCTGTAAACAGTTTGTCCTCCAACAACAACAACAACAACAACAACAACAACAAAGCCTTTAGTCCCAAACAAGTTGGGGTAGGCTAGAGGTGAAACCCATAAGATCTCGCGACCAACTCATGGCTCTGGCACATGGATAGCAAGCTTCCATGCACCCCTGTCCATAGCTAGTTCTTTGGTGATACTCCAATCCTTCGGGTCTCTCTTAACGGACTCCTCCCATGTCAAATTCGGTCTACCCCGCCCTCTCTTGACATTCTCCGCATGCTTTAGCCGTCCGCTATGCACTGGAGCTTCTGGAGGCCTGCGTTGAATATGCCCAAACCATCTCAGACGATGCTGGACCAGCTTCTCTTCAATTGGTGCTACCCCAACTCTATCTTGCATATCATCATTCCGAACTCGATCCTTCCTAGTGTGGCCACACATCCATCTCAACATACACATCTCCGCCACACCTAACTATTGAACATGTCGCCTTTTAGTCGGCCAACACTCAGCGCCATACAACATTGCAGGTCGAACCGCCGTCCTGTAGAACTTGACTTTTAGCTTTTGTGGCACTCTCTTGTCACAGAGAATGCCAGATGCTTGTCGCCACTTCATCCATCCGGCTTTGATTCGATGGTTACATCTTCATCAATACCCCCATCCTCCTGCAGCATTGACCCCAAATATCGAAAGGTGTCCTTCTGAGGTACCACCTGCCCATCAAGGCTAACCTTCTCCTCCTCACACCTAGTAGTACTGAAACCGCACATCATGTACTCGGTTTTAGTTCTACTAAGCCTAAACCCTTTCGATTCCAAGGTTTGTCTCCATAACTCTAACTTCCTATTTACCCCCGTCTGACTATCATCAACTAGCACCACATCATCCGCAAAGAGCATACACCATGGGATATCTCCTTGTATATCCCTTGTGACCTCATCCATCACCAAGGCAAAAAGATAAGGGCTCAAAGCTGACCCCTGGTGCAGTCCTATCTTAATCGGGAAGTCATCAGTCTCGACATCACTTGTTCGAACACTTGTCACAACATTATCGTGCATGTCCTTGTTGAGGGTAATGTACTTTGTTGGGACTTTGTGTTTCTCCAAGGCCCACCACATGACATTCCACGATATCTTATCATAGGCCTTCTCCAAGTCAATGAACACCATATGCAAGTCCTTCTTTTGCTCCGTGTATCTCTCCATAAGTTGTCGTACCAAGAAAATGGCTTCCATGGTCGACCTCCCAGGCATGAAACCAAACTGTTTGTCCTCCCACTGCAAAAAAATGACACTGCGAAAACCAGAGTCCTAGCCCACGTATGCACAAACCCTAAACAGAGAGTTTCACCGGCTGTCCTCCCACCATGCAAAAAAGAAAACAACACTACAAAACCAGAGTGAAAGGAAAAACCAGCGCCCCAACCCACGTATGCACGAGTCCAATCGGCGGGGCAAAAAAAAAAAAGCTAACGTGCCCAATATGCACGGCTCCACCTCTACCACCGACCACCACCCTCGATCCACCATCACCGGCGACCAATGAGCCCATCCTCGTCCCCTCGTCCATTGCTTCAACACAAGTTGTTGCCACCTGTGAGAAATGCAGGGATGCCTAGCAATGACGGTTTGCCCCTCCCCTTCCTTCGTCCCTTGACCTTCTCTCGCCTCATGAAGGTTCCATTCACCGTCTATTGTCCTTCTCTTGTGCTAGAGTCACATTTTCTAGGACCAGTGGTGGAGACCCATTGGCAATGGTGTAGGCGGCATGCCACATAGGGAAGAGTGAAGCAAGCCTGAGGACAAGATACCGCATGTGTCGACCAACCTAGCATCATCCGCATGGAGGATGAGGCAGCTTTACCGGATGCCTAGGTAAACATATATGCATAAGCAAGGAGGATGGAGGATGATTGGTGGTGCATAAGCAAGCACCAGTGGTGCGAACGTGCATCTAGCCCTCTATGTATATTCCAAATGTCTAGGTAAACATATATGCATAACTAGTCTAAGAAATACATGCATCTGAGCCACGATCAATACAGACTGTCAGCCTAAGATGTTCCCCTTTCTATCATTCTCTGTTTATGTGAATATGCAAGTGACATGTATGTGCTTGTGGAACTTGGTGAATGGACATCGGTTTTTATTTGAACAAGCTTAAATCAGATATAAACGCAAAATAATGATGTCTCTTTTTTTTACTTCTGCACCATGCTTGTTACTAAATACAATAGTATCTGTTCTGTTCAATCTGGGCACCTTGTAATTTGAAATTAGTAAAATCTCAACTGATTTCTTCGAGAATTTCAAGAGTCATCACCATTAAGATCCTTTCACATGCCATGCTTGTGCAATATATGTTTGCTCAAATGAACTGATCCTAATACTTAGACAGATATGTTATATTCAATTTTGCTTAAAACAAAAGCTATTGTAAGGAAATAAGTAGGTGCCAATTAACTTGCCATTGTACCATACGTATTTGGTTGGTGCCTTTATTTGGAAGAATATCAATGTGTACTCTTTAAAACATCTTATGAACAAAAAATAATAAAGTAATACGAAGATATAGTTGAGAGAGAAAATAATACCTTTAGTTTGATTTGTTTTGCAAAAGGAGGTTCATCTTACACTGATTTTTACAAGGTGATGTTATCGGATGTTTTTCATCAGTCATGCTTAATATAGAGCAGCCCTTTTACTTTCACCCCTTCCGCCATTCAAGCCGTAGGTTCAGTTTCAGCTGCCTAAGGTGGCCTCAAGTTGTACTTAATTTTTCTTTTTTCAATTTTTATGATTTAAGACGGAATTCATGTTGTCAATTGGATAATTTCTTCTTACATTGACTTTTGACATGGTGATATCCAAGTGAATAGTTGGGTTCTTTTGATCATTTAACAAAAATCTATTGTCACTCACGATTTCCAATGTAATCTACCAAATTTAACATTAAGGGACTTTGCTGTAAACCTATGTTTTTAAGGCGTCTGTAAGGCGACGCTTAGGCGACGAGGCGCCCCCCAGCGCTTTGCAAATATGTCCGCTTTAGGCGCCTAGG